TGATCGTGTGTTTCTCTACACGATCGTGCGCACGGCATTTATAAACAATTAATAAACTTAATCTTTTATGTGACACTATTGTGTCTTACAGTTTTCATAGGTTAATTTTCACGAAGCTGTACGTAGTCAAGAAACCATGCTCCTGTGTATTTTTATTTTGTCACACATGAAGTTACGTTGCGTATATGATTGGAATTGATTCATGTATGTTGTTAGAAGCCAAACTATCTTTGTTCTTTAGCAAAAATCATTAAGACAGCTCTACGGATAGACGATAGAACAGATATTTTATTCATGCCTATGCATGTTTATAGATTTCATCATTGAAAACAATAATAAATACGAATTTCTGACAAATTCTCCAAAAGATCTTATTTAAGAATGAATCAAAACTTTGGTCGGTCCATGAGCAACATCTAACCTTCTCGGCCAAGGTCTAAGGTTCGCCAACCCGTTGTGATAAATGACATAAAAGATGTGGTCAAGCCTACAGACACCATGTCACATGGTGGGACAAACATTAACAAGTTGTTTGTAACAATGAAAGTCGCTGGCAGAGGGAAATGATCATTATTTAGTGTTTGAGGGTCTTGAGTCAAAAACTACAGTGAAGTTAAACGCATTCCGTGATCTCATGAGGCTGATGCGAGTCGAGAAGAGTATTCTAACCAGCGACAATCTAGTGAAGATTCTCCGAACGTCTTGGGTGTATATAATTACATGTGTGACTCGGCTTTTGCTTATTTGATACTAGAGTATGGGTCGTACAACTTGGAAGATCTTGTGGAACTGTTGACACAAAAACGTGGGCAATCAATGATTCGTCCAAGATAAACATAAAGATTGTTCTCAATAAAGAGTGAGAAGCAAGAGGCAAGTTGACATCAGCAAATATATCGGTGCAAACAAATCGTTACCCTTCAGTGATGACATTGCCACAAGTTAAACGTTCACTAAATTGCTGATATGAACTTTCTCATAACCGGTGCCGTGATTGATCGTAAGAAAGAGAGAATAGATTTAAAGCAAAGCTTCCTTATTTTGTGCAGGCATTCATGAAATTTTGTTTTTGTTGATGTTCAAGCACTAGTGGGAAGCAATCTAGAGGGACTTGAGAGCTACTTTACAAGAGGTTCAAAATAAAAAATAGGGAAATTGGCTAATATAACCAAGAAAAAAAAAAAGAAACATAATATCTATGCAAAACACCCTATGTGGCATAAATCATACCCACTAA